TCTTCAATACTACCTTTAGCTAACTTAATTTTCCATGGATCAAATTTATTCAAAGTTAAATTTCTCTTAATAGGTCATCGGAGTAAACAATTTCAAGTGTTACTTGCCAAAAGGAAAAAAAAAAATGTTTCCAGGCTTCAGATGAAATCGGCAGTGTCAGGCTAAGAAAACAACCTTAAAAATTCACAGAGAGCTGGAACAATTGCAAAGTAAAGTTGGAGCCCGGAAGTCAGTCTTGTTCATGCAGTTCTGAAGGTAAAAAAAAAAAAAAAAATCACAAATTTCCACCAAAACTGGGTCTTCAAGGGGCAAAGGAAAAATGCCTTTTTTTTTTTTTTGAGACAGGGTCTCATTCTGTCACCTAGGCTGGAGTGTAGAGGGGTGATCTCAGCTCACTGCAACCTCCATCTCCCAAGCTCAATCGATCCTTCTACCTCAACCCCTCAAGTAGCTCGGACCACAGACTCACGCCACCACACCTGGCTAACTTTTGTATATTTTATAGAGACGGGGTTTCACCATGTTGCCGAGGCTGGTCTCGAACTCCTGGCCTCAAGTAATCCACCCACCTTGGACTCCCAAAGTGCGGGATTATAGGCATGAGTCACAGCGCCCAGCGTCATTTTTTTGAAAGCAGAAAATGTATAAAGTAATATATCCTTAAAGTAGCAGCTGTCATAAGAAGATAGCACCCTGGGCTTTCTCTGGCACCAAAACTGGGCACTCTGTGCTCCTGGTTTTCAGAGAGAGAGAAAGCGAGAAGGCAGGGGAGAGGGAAGGGGAGGAGGGGAGAGGGAGTAGAGGAAGGCTTGAGGCATGGCATGGAATTCTGCAAACACAGCAGTTATTAAGGGAAATGGGAGAGTGTCTAGGGGAAGAAGTTTTCTTGAATTTCTATTCTGAAATTTCTTGGAATAAGTGGATTTGTGCAAGGGCAGGGATAAATGTAGTTGAAGATCTGTTTTATAGGTGAGGAAATGGTCATCTGAGAGGCAAACCAGCCTTACGCCCCAACAGGGAATATAACCAGAATAGAGGTAACTCTGTCTCCAGCCTCTGAATCTACAGCCTTCCTCTAATAGCATCTAAAGCCAGGGTTTCTGACAGCACAGTCCGAGAAGCCCCATGACATCACAAGTGGCAGCTGGGTGTACTTTATGACAAATGCTAAATTAACTCCTGCCTGTGACCTTGCCACCGTAACTCAGCCAGCCAGGACACACACTGCACCCCAAACACTCAAGTCCCTATGCAAACACTCACTCCTCCAAGCACAGAGGGAAGCCTGCTCCGCAGGCTCTGCTAAGCGTACTGCTGCCGCTGACATCATCGCAAATAGAAAGGGAGAGAGTCCAGGAACCACAGGGCTCACTTTCTAGCCTCTCTATTTAAGATTTTCGAGGGCAGACAGCACTATGTTTAACTGGCACAAGTAATATGCATCGTGCCCAGGGCCTCTTAAGGAAAACTGAACAATGTTTTAGAATGAACCTGCCCTCACCTCGCTCCTGCTCAATCATTTCACCCAACAACAAGTTAGAGGTAGAGAAGATGAATATTATTAAAATGATGCTTCTACATCAGGATCTTATGGGTGCTTTGGCTCTCAACTTTTTTCATAAAATATCTGTCCAGTCCAGACCGAGAAGCCATCTTCGACAGCATTCTGGCAAGGGCATGGAGGTAACCAGGGCTCACAGGTGTCTATGGCAATGTTCTGATCCTGTTGTTAGAAATAGTCGATGCAGCAGAGGTGATGGCACTCATTGCCATGCCTGAGGTCTTCAGGGCTTGCCTGCATGGGTAGATGGTACTGAAGCCTCCTGTCTAGATGACGATCTGCTCAGACCTGGGCTACCTGCGGTGTGTCCTGTTGACAGACTTGCTCTTGCAGGGAGTAGCTGGAGAATATTGCTCTAGGAATCTTGCACTGTGCCCCACCCGTAATGATGCCCCAGGACAGAAGGTGGGAAATTCACGAATACACTCCTACTATGGTGCCATCAAACCCAGGACACTAAGCTGTTCACACTTTATTACTAATTCTCACAGCAATCATGAAAGGTCAGAATGATTATGTCAACTTCCAGAGAAGCACACAGAGACTCAGAGAACCTGGCTATTTGGCCAAAGTCCACAGCTTCAGGTGAGCGTGACTCTAAGACCTCCGTTAGAGATAAGGCCCTCAGATTTACATATTTGCTCTACACCCTTGAGATGTTTGCAATTGGACTGGAAAGACAGGAGATACATCCAAAGACAACTGCAAGTTCTGACCACCCTGTCCAATAGCTCTTTCTGCGATGATGGAAATGTTCTGGGACCTGTGCTGTCATCTGTGATCCAACTATCGAGTATTTGACATGTAGTTGGTGCAACTGAGAATCTGAATATTTAATTTTAGTTGGTTTGAATTCATTTGAATTGAAATTGCCATTGAATGTCCACATTTAACAGCACATGTGGAGACATTTTATACCAGCAGCAGTCAGAAAAGAATGCTGCAGTCTGGGGTGGTCCAAGCGAGCTTCATGAAGCACATGGGCTCTGGGCCAGCCCTTGATGTGTTAGGATTTGGACAGAACTTCTCCTGTTTCAGGCATGATCATCTGCCCTATGGAATTTGGTTCTGAATCAAAGGCCCCAGAAACCAAGCCCAGTCCTTTTGGTCTGCAGGTGAGGAAATCAAGATTGTCCCTCCTGGTTCCATATTCCCTTTGGACCTGCTCTTCGCAACATGACTCAGCTTGCTTTTGATTCCTCCCAAGTTTCTCCTAAAGCCTTTCCTCTCTTCCCTTTCCCTGTGTGCCCCCTGCCAACACGGGCAGGTCGTGGGTTTGCGTTCTTTTTATCTACCTAGACATTTTCTTTTCTATCTGTGAGGCTGAGTCATTTCCTCTCTTGGAATGACTTTTAACGCGCTTTATGCTTCTACATCTGTCACTCTGAGAAAGGCATTTCCCAATACAGAGAGCAATGCCACTCACAGAGAGACCAATCACCTGCCCCCAAAACACACCCCAGCAACAGGGAACAGAATCCCCCCATCCTTGCTGGTTCTGCAAATGGCTGAACCTAATGCTCAGAGCTGGTCACCATGTCCTGTCTGATTCCATTCTTTTCCACACCAGGAGTGACAACTGGCCTTTCTAATACTATTAGCTGATTAATACTAATCAGCTTATTAGTTAGACAAAGATGTTGAAAACTGACTACAGGACCAGATCTGCTCTTGGCACAGAACCTGTGCCTTCCCTGCCATGCCTTTTCAGGCTAGTCCTTGGAAATCTCTGTTTTTTAGACTACACGTGGCTGAGCCCCTCAGTGGGACATTTGACCCCTTCATACCCATTTTCATTTCTAGCTCACATAGCTGCCCTTGTGCTGCTTCACTTTCAAGTGAAAAATGTTCCTTGTGAGCATGGAACAACAGCCACAGTAACTTTTGGATTCCCCAGCTTGAGGAACACAGACTACGCAGGATTTTTTTTGGTGGTGGAGATGGAGCAGATAACCTATTTTGAATTCTTTTCAGCTTTGCTTGAAAGCTGATTGTTAAGAGTCTAAGTATGGTGGGAAGGGCACTTCCTACCCATCTTCCCAACAGATCGCAGACCTGCAATTCTCTGACATGTCTTCTGTACTCAACAACCTGTAGTTCTTTGGGCTGCAGTGGAGATTGTTTATATCCTTCCATGCTGACACTAAAGATGAGACAGGCCTTTGGATGGAAGATCAGCATGGTGCCGGGCGCGGTGGCTCAAGCCTGTAATCCCAGCACTTTGGGAGGCCGAGACAGGTGGATCACGAGGTCAGGAGACCGAGACCATCCTGACTAACATGGTGAAACCCCATCTCTACTAAAAAGTACAAAAAACTAGCTGGGTGAGGTGGCGGGCGCCTGTAGTCCCAGCTACTTGGGAGGCTGAGGCAGGAGAATGGCGTGAACCCAGGAGGCGGAGCTTGCAGTGAGCTGAGATCCGGCCACTGCACTCCAGCCTGGGCGACAGAGCAAGACTCCGTCTCAAAAAAAAAAAGGAAGATCAGCATGTCACTGAGCTCCTGGGCCCTGGACAGTGGCACACATGAGGTCAATCCCCACCAGGTAAGGACAGAAAGCCCCAGAGGGCTTCGAGGTCCAAGTCAAAGTGGCAAATATGGCTACAGACCTACTCCATCCCACCACCTGTTTTGGTACAACCTGTGAGCTAAGAATGATTTTTAAATTGATAAAGCATTATAAAAAATTCTTTTAAGAATACACTACAGATGCAATATGTGGCCTGCAAAGCCTACAGTGTTTACCATCTGGCCCTTTCCAGGACAAGTTACCAACTCCGGTCTAAACCTTCAAGGACCTCATTCATCCAGAGGGGTACCTGTCATGTCCCTGAGGCTTGGTGGGCTGGGTCCTCATAGCTCCTCATTCCCTTTAATCTGCTTTGTGTTTATTTTCTTTTTCAGTTCAGTAACCTCAGAGACAAAATGTTCCATATATCTTTCCAGGGAATGGCACAATAGATATAAAATCTAACAAACAATACATGAAAATCCGCCTCTTCCAAGAAGATCAACATCATGGGTGAGGATCTGACTCAATCCCGGTGTCTTTACTGTGATAGGAACAAGGTTCCTGATTAAAAACCAGCCAGAAAGGACCCAAGCGATCAAAGCAAAGGTAACCACAAAACATCCTCACCCATCCTGCTCCTGCCTTGGTTTCCCACTTGGCAGCACCAGTCTCCACATCCGACCTCAGTACCGCATCAGGAGTGTCACTGTCTCTGACTCAGCCCCAGCTCCAGTAGAAAACGAACACAGAGGTCAAAACACACCTTAATAGTCCCTCAGGATGTCACCTGAAAGTTTCTTAGGCTCCCATCCTAAACATCCTTAGAAGCTCTCAGGATTAATATTCTAAGAAAACACACAGCAGCTGCCTCTTCCTTAGCCACAAGAGAAAATGACAGCTGCTGCCCATGAGTAGCCAGCACTGTTACCTGGTTCGGTGCAGTTCTTGCCGTTCCGGAGTCCAGCATCTTCAGAAGTCAGAGTGTCGTTCACCTGCATGAGCTTCCTCCCCATCATCCACTTTCTGTCTTCCCCTATGAGGTCCATGAGGTCAAGCTCTGGGGAGACAAAGACAATAACCACACGTCATTCACAGCTGGGTTTCAGCTTCTGTTGACGCTGCGTGCCCAGTGCCCTGACCAGCCATCACTTGTTCAACCCTGCCTGCACTCCCGGCCACCCTGCCTCTAGCTGCCTGATGGCTTCCTCGCCGCACCAGTGGGATGATTTTGAGGTGTGTGTTCTAAACTGGATTCTAGATTCTTCCCAGTGGGATCAAGCTCCAGTTGTCTACTGTGTAACTTTCTTGATAAAGCACACTTGATCAACTGCTCCCCCTTCCCTGTCTCAATTCCCTGCCCCCAGTGACATCCTGAGAAATGTTTAACAACCACCTCTCGAAGGGGAAGAAAAGCCCTGTTTTGTAGCCACTGGCCAATTTCTGTGGTGTCAATATTCCCATTGTAGCCAATGCCTAGTTACACACATGACATCATTGAAAATGGGGTTCGGAAGAGATGGACACAGTCAGCTCCACTGAGTCAATAATAGCTGGCTCCAGCCTATCAAGATCTAGCCCCTGCCAGTATCTCCTGAAACCAGCCCCCAAATGAACCACCCACCATTGAACATACTTCAGAATCTGCTTCTGGGGGTTATCAGGCGAAGACATAATTTGTCATCCCCAAAGCATAGATTCATGAGTGCCACACAGCATGTTTCCAATGAACAAGAGATGAAGGCATGAACTAGGAAACAGTAGGTTGGGAGAGCAGGTAACAGGGCTCAGGGCTTTAATGACTGTGGGGGTGGAGGTGCCAGAAGAAAGAACACAGGCTAAAGAGCACACTGAAGCGGCCAGTGCAGTGCATTCTGTTTGGGGCACGCTGAGTTTGAAGAGTCTGCAGAGCACGGAAAGGGAGGTATGCCACCCGTGCAAATGTGAGTGGAAGAACCTCAGGGTGACAAGCAGAGCCACAGCAAACCTCAGGGAAATCATCAGCAACAGGGAAGGGTGAGAGGCACATGTATGGATGGGGTCTCCCGGTGGAGAAGAGGGGGCACTGGGGAGAAGGAATGGAAGAACACAATATCCTTCAGAAAGGAGACAGAGCAAAAGGATTCAGGAAGGGATCATGAATGGAAGGAAAAGAGCAAGGAAAGTAGGTGTCGTGGAAGGTAAGCAGAAAGAGAATTTCAGGAGGGAAGGAGTAGCCAACAGCCTTGAACTCCATGGACGGATCAGGTAAGATGAAGGCAGAAACATGACAGGTGGTACCTGGCGTCATGGGGCCACGGAGAGACACAGAGAGCAGGCCAAGCTGCCAAAGTGGCTCTTTCCAGGGGCTTGGCACTGAAGAAGGGACCTGAGGCAATGCTGCCTCTTGAGTGTCCAAAGTTGCCGCGGGCAGAAAATGGATCGAAACACAAGACGTGGGCCTAACCCACAGGCCCAGTGGCCTTCACAGAAGGCCAGATGGTGCACCCAACCACACCAACACAGTGTCTGAAGTGGTCACTAAAGAGCTGAAGGGCATCCTGCTCTCTCCTCTACTTCCACAGCGATTCAGTTTCCCAAATGATTTCTCCTTTGTTACTGAACTCAAACCTCACAACGCTGCTCAAGAAAGAAAGCGAGAGACTGGACATTGCCTCTCCAGCACCTGATCACTGCTGGCTCAGGGTAGGTGCTCAGTAGGTATGCATTGAAATAATTATTCCCACTTTATAAGTGGAGAAAATGAGACTCATGGAAGTGTCTGGAAATCACAATGCCTGTGGGCACCTCACCTAAGCTAACATGATGCACATAATATCAGTAGCTCATGAACTGAGGTCTTCCTCAAACACAGACCTTGCTTCCGTGTGTAAATTTAGCAAGACATCAAATTACAGTTTATGTATACCATCCAAGAGAGCCCCCCAGGTTTTTTCCCCAAAAAATGGAGGAAGAATGTGGAGTCTAATGAAAAGAAACAATAATTTCAGACTCTTCATTCAGAAATACAAAATTCTACATGGTGACCACATGTATCAGCTTAGCCCAAATTATGAGGACAATATCGAAGATAATTCAAGGTTAAAGCAAGGCATTTGTGTAGTCTGGATAACCTGAATGGTGGATTTTTATGATTAAGAATAGTGATGAATAGAGGCAAAAAAATTTCAAAGCCTCATGAAGAAACGATAAGGTTAGTAGCCTTAAACTCCCATATTATCACAAATAATCTGAAAGTGTGGAGAAGGGCATCCCCTCTGTCTCAGGCTGGGTTTCCCTAGAAGCAGTCCCTGAGAGAAGGATTTGAGAGCAGGTGGTTTATACGGGAGGTGATCCCAAGAAGAATCAGTAGAAGAGCAGAGTAGGACAGGAAACGCTAATAGTAAGTGCATTTTAAGTCAGTTGCCAATATGAATAACTAGAAACTGACCTCTCTGGAAAGCTCTGGGGACCACTGTAGACAAGCATCTCGGACACCCAAGAGGTAAGGAAGCTTGGGTATTCATCCAGCTACTCCTGGTCTAACATTGGTTGAAGCTGACGAAAGAAGACATAATCCCCCAGCATTTCCAATCTGCCACATGGAGGTCCAAGGTGATGCCCAGAAAAAGGCCTTGGGCAATGAGAGGCAGGTGCTAGAAGCTGCACTGTGCCAGCTGGCACTGAAGAGATCAGAACCGAGTAATATACGTTGAGCACCATGACATCTGCCCATCTACACAGTACCTAAAGAGAGAGTCATGCTGTGGCCAGCAGTGTGGCTATTCCACTGTTCTTATAATCTGGGTCAAGGAGACATGCTTTGTGGTACTGTAATCTTAATGTTCAGGAAGACCCCAAAGATTTAAAAAGAAGCAGGAGTATCCCTTCCAATGGCTTCCAAGTTGCTTCATATGCCAAGTTTCCATGGTTCTGTAACTCTGAGAGAAAAGCTGATACCAATTAAGAGATATAAAAATAAAGCCAGCTATTGTAGCAGAAAATCAGAGGATTTTTAAACATAATGATTCAATATCTTCAGGAATTAGACTCTTAAGGCAGCACCTCTGGATTCCAAAATGTGCAAACTTTTATATCAATAAAAATGTATTCGACCACTGAGGGCTGACATAACAACACAGAGACCAGAGACTGAGAAAAAAATGATGAAGCAATGCATTGCATCCGTTTCCTTCCCACAGAGAACCAAGTTTGACAATACTATAGCACAGTTCATCTGTCCTCGCAAAACTCCTGCTGAGCTAGGAAGAGGCAGTTGGTTCTGGGGTCACTTTACCTTTAGAGTACATAAGTCAGAGAATAGGCAATTTGCTAAGATCAGAGTCAATCCATGGCTACATCAACTATCATTTCATAGTTAGCATGGCTTCTATTCACTGAATGTCTGTGATGTGCAGAAATCTTTCCATTCTTCACCATGTTTCATCTTCATGGACGAAAGCCCTACATGGAAATACTAGTTCCTTTTTGTAAATAAGGAAATTGATGGACAGAGAGGTTAAATATCTTGCCCAAGGTCACACAGTGAGGAAGGAGCAGAATGAGGATTTGAACCCAGGCCTAGTGACCTCAAAGGACAAATTCTTGGTAGATCCTGGGATAGGATGAAATCCATCCTGGTTTCATTATACAGCTATAGTAAAGTAGCTCAATAATGCAGCCTGCACCTCATAACAGGTTAGCAATGAAGAGGTAAATAAGTCTCACTGGACTTATTTCAAAGAGGTTGTTTCCCTTGTAGTTACAGTCATGCACCACAAAATGACATTTCTGTCAGCATTGGAAGGCATATATGATAGTGGTCAACTTTTTTTTTGGGGGGGGGGTCTGGCTCTGTTGCCCAGGCTGGAGTGCAATGGTGCATTGCAGCCTCAAACTCTGAGGCTCACATGACCCTCCTGCCTCAGCCTTCTCAGTATCTAGGACTACAGGTGCATGCCACCACATTCAGCTAATTTTATTATTTTTTGTAGAGACAGAGTCTCCCTATGTTGCCCAGGCTGGTCTCAAACTCCTGGCCTCAAGTGATCCTCCCACCTTGACCTCCCAAAGTGCTGGGATGAGCCACCACAGTCAGCCCCATAAGATTTTAACACCATATTTTTACTGTCCCTTTGCTGTATTTAGATATGTTTAAATATACAAATATTTACCACTGTGTTACAACTGCCACAGTATTCAGTATAGTCAGTCAAGTGCCGTACAAGTTTGCAGCCTAGGAGCAATAGGCTATATCATCCAGGTTTATGTAAATACACTCTGTGGTGTTGGTACAAGAACAAACTCACCTAACAATGCATTTCTCAGAACATATCCCCACTGTTAAGGGACATGTGATCGAATTAGGAACAGCAGTGAGGCAGGAGCCTCCCCCATGAAAGGTTCACAAACGAAGGGCTGAGACACTTCTAAAAAGTCCCACTGGGTGCAACTCACTCTGCTCAGTGTGATTTCCTAGAGACCAGGCTGGTCGCACGCATTATGACATGGAGGGCTATCTTCTTGCACTTAGGGAGGAGGGGCACAGGGTGGGCAGCTGGGAAGGCTTGGAGGGTGGGAAGGTGAAGGGGATACGGAGAGGCGCCCACACTGGCTGTCCTCCCTGCTCTCCCCTCGCTCACCTCCCCAGCTTCCTTGGACTTCTCCGCTACAGCAAAGAGGCCGCTCTGCAAAGCTACATTTGAGCAATGTCAACAAAAACACTTGGCCCCTGTCCATGGCATTCTTGGCTCCTCATCTGCCAAGCCCTGGAAGTTGCATGTTGGCCTAATTAGTCAGGGGAGGGGCAGGGGATGAAGAGGGGAGGCAGCAGGCTCACATGTCACATGTCACGAGTGGAGGCAGCCTGCAGGACTGCAGGCTCTGAGAAGAGGGGACAGGAGTGGGCTGTTGGGATAGCATGGGATGCTGGCTGGAAGGGGAGGAAATCAAGCTCTCAACTCAAGAAGCAAGCGCATGCACTAAGGAAGGACACAAAGTAAGGCTGGATGCCAAGTTTCCATTACAGAGCTATGTGCCCACCCTTTTGTGCTCTCTTCCCTCCCCTTCCCCTACCTCCCT